AATTAGGCTGCCTCCTCTTCCTGACTGGGTGGAGGCGGGGAAGGGGGGGTGCTTCACACATCACACGAGAGCTTTTTTGCCTTTCTTTGTAACCTACAAACAAAAAGACCTACAAATGAAAGAAAGAAGTGTTATTAGGCGTTATTATGGTGCTGAGGACACAGTACATCTGGAAGGAAATGTGGAAAATTTGTATCCCTGTATTTCAGTAAGAGGCCACAAAATCCACTCCCATTTAAAAGGGAAAAATTGAGGAAGAGTCTTAGAGACATTACTCTAAATACCTGCAGTGTGTATTTTTCAAATATGCACACACATATATTTTTTTAATATATTTACATATATTTGTACGTGTGTGCATTTTAGGCTTTTTATTTGGGATATATCATGTGATCTGAGGAGTGCCTTTTTTCCTCTCTCTGCGTATGCTAATTCTTTTAAGTACTGTTATGTCTATAATACTTTGTCTTTAAAGGATCTAATACTTACCTCAGAATAGTATTGAGATGAGTAACCATATTCTGTGGGATGGCTAGCATTACTGAGAATATGTGACTGTTAAATTTCACTGCCTTTTTAAGAAGCCGAACCTGTAGGCTGATCTTGGCTCCAATGGCAGGGTGTGATCCAATCCGTGCAGGTAATTGGGACGCAGATGCTGCGAGAGCCTTTCGGTGGAGCCTGATGCACTCTGATAAAATAACCAGGAGATCATTGCAAAGCACACCCATTAAGATCCTTCACAACCAGTATCATAATATTACTAAATGTTCACTCTTTGGATTTAAGTTCTCTGCACAGCTCATATGTTAAGAGGAAGCAAAAAATTAAAAATAAGCCACTTTGTAGGAAACTGCTTCATCAAATCTCTGGATAATTGTCCGGCTTTTACAATTCTCTTTGAAATCATTTCTGCAGGGAAATCAGGAGTTGGAGATTGGTTGCAAGCCACGAGAACAGGGTGGCAGTAAAAAGGAAAAGCAAAGCCAATTTCACTGACATAATAGAGTATCTATTCCACAACACATAAAATAATAAAGCTTGCAGGTAAAAAAAAAACTAAGGAAAATATAATTAGTACCCAGGACCAGCTGAGGGAAATGGTAGAGGGGAAATGGGAGTTCATTCACACGACACAATTTTTGGTGCTTAATTTCAGCGGATAAATTATCTGGCATGCCTCCCTGGGGTTTTTCTGCAGTTGAGGAGAAGAGGGTCTGTCAGAGCTGAACTAAGGCCTCCCCCAGAGCAAGTTTGCTCTCTCTATTGTAGAGGGAGTCCAGAGAGGCTGTCAGCTCACTTAGCTTGTCTTTTAGTCTTTTAAGTTGAGTGGTGTGAATAGTCTTCAAAATGCTTTTGGGTTTCCCTTTACCCAAAGATTGAGGGAATGCTCCTTTTCATTCTCAGCCACAGGAATTAAACAATAAGATCAAAATCTTGTAATCTCCTTGGGAATTCCTTTTAGTTGTGTGGGATCTAAAATGCTAGTTTTCCCCTAAATTGCTGGGCAAATGAAGGCAGAGGCTAATCATACAGCTGGCTTTCAATGCAAACATTTCCAATGTCTGGTGCAGTGCCATTTGTTTGGGATCGCCTATGAAACAAATACCTTAATCATTTTTAATACCTTTGCACGAGTTTAAATGTCATTAAGCTGGTTCCTTATATATCTTATGGTCTGCTTACAGTGAGAATAAGAGGACCTAGAGCCAAAGTAAGCATTATTATTCCAATTTTTTTGGCCTTTCATTGTACCAACTTATGAAAATGACGATCCTATAAAATAAAATTGCAATAGGGTCTCCAGACAGGTAATATTTAGTGTATTATTTTCAGTAAAACCAGCACAACTAAAGATTTTGAATTTACAGCAGTATTGTTCCCTCTGCCCACCCCTCTGTGGAACACATTACAGTCAACAACCACGTATTATGTCAAAACTGCCATCTTTATTCTTCACCAAACAAATATTTTAAAGCACATATATCTGTACTGCAGGAATATGCAGCAAAAAATCCCCTAGATCTTCATTTTTAAAATGAGATGCAAATCTTAAATTTGCAACTGTGCGTCCCCTGTCAGAAAATGGTTCCTTACGATTTCCCAATAGCAAGTAAAACACCAAAAAGAAAGTACTTGCCAGCCTTTGGGCGTGCTTGTTCTCCAGTGAAACAGTCTGAATGTGCAGAGATGCAGACAGGGACTTTGGATTCGAGGGGAAAAATGTTTGTGGGTGAAGTTCAGCCTACAATGCGGTTTGTTTTGCGTGCAGGAGGTTTCTTACAATATCAGTATCACAAACTGAAATTGCTTACAACTTCCCCTGCCTTTCCAACTTTGATTTTTTTTTTTTCCCTTAGACATAGTTTTAGTTGTGTACATCCCACATCTTGTTGTGGCCGTCACTTGGAGAGAAGAATGTTGTGTCTTTACTGTACCATGTACTGCACTGCCTTTGCTGTGGGAACTGTCACTGTAACAAAAGGTCTGAAGGATTGGGAAGGAAACGTGCCGTCATTCTTTCCAGTTATGAAAATTGCTATGAATGCAAATTACCTCTAGCTTTATAGAAGGCGTTTTCTGTTGAACACCAATTGTGCCTTCAATAGTGAAAGGCATATCGAGTTATTCACATGGGAAAGCTGGTATAAGGGAAGGTCTTGATTTGTTACATTCAGTATCACTGAAGGTTGCAACCTCAACCTAAGAAAGGAATACGTGGAAATATGTTTGAAACCTTAAGTGGCCTACTTGCAACATGCTTTAGATTTGTTAAAAGATTTGCAAACCTTTTGATAAGTTTCATCTACTTTCCAGATGTCATCGTAGAAAAAAATGTAATGCTACCATTTGCTATAAAAGCTTCCTGCAGCTCTATTAACAAGTTTCCCATGATGTAATTAGAAAGAAGGTGCAGTGTTTTCTTTGGCATCCATGGGTAAAATGCTGTGCATACTTATGCTGCTATAAACCCAGGGCAACTCAGTTCATTTTAATGAAGTTATTTTGGACTTAGTTTGTGTGAAATTTGGCTATACCTTTATCTATAGCTGGATATCTTCCTCAAGGGGCAAATACAACAAAGGTTGTACATTTTCTTTAGATTTTGTATAGGAAGTCACTATTTTCAGCATCAAGGAGGCTGCTACTTTTCTGAACAAGGTAAATGCTGTAAAATCTTTTAGGTTCAGATTCAGGTAGGGTTTTCAGATGTGTCCATAACTTTCTTGAATAAGCTGGAGCATGCGCAAGTGCTGAAGTCAGGGCCTTCAGCCCTCTCCTGTATGCCTCTTATTCCTCTTTGTTCGCTAGTCTGTTACGTGAGGTTCATGGCCAAGAACCATTTTGGAGCTGGATGCCACGTTTCTATCACAGAACATTTATCTCCTTCTCATTTGAGCCAACTGAAGTCTCTGGTAGTATCAAGGTTGGTGCTTGTGCCAGTTTCTCTGTACCACTGATTTAGGTAGATGGCTTTGGACTGATACCAAACACAGGCAGGTTCATTATTGTTTCTCACAACAGAAAAAAAAAAAAAGACCAGCTGCTTTGGTCTTGGAATCTGCCTGTCGTTTCTCATCCAGAGAAGCCTGTACACAAATGGCCTTTGCATAATGCCTTGTTGTCTTCTTTCTTATTTCTAAATAACAAACAAAAAGAAAGGGAACTAGAAGGGGAAAAAATTAAATTTTAATGGAAACACATTTCATCTTTTGTTTTCTGCTTGCCATAAAACATTAACATAGTAAACAAATTGGTCTTTGCTGTTAAATTCTTTAATAACATACAGTATTTTGAGTTTTGTCATGGCTAATGTATGGTTGAACCATGTTGTGTTGCTGGCCACATTCAAACCTCTATTGTCACCGTTCTTTGACATCAAACTACATTTTTAAAAATAAAAGTTGCATGTAACCCACTTCTGTTCATAGACACCTTCATTAAAAGGTCGTCATTTTGGGGGGATGTCTCAGTACGTTAGTGGTAATGGTGTTTTCTGACCAAAACTGCTTTTTTTTGGGACATAGTTCAAAGTCCATGCATTCCCGTGGTCAGCCCCTGCTTTGTGCCATACAGTACCTTTCCGAATGCTGCACCCACACACAAGCAAAACTTTTACAGGCTGCTCTGAAACTTTATATTCTAGACAGCTAATCCAATCATAGGACTGTTACCATGGTGTTACAATAGCTGACAGAGCTATTTGAAATAAGGGTATGTAGAAAAAAGAAAGTGTCACTTTGGTCCACTTTTCAGAGTGGTTGGTGTTATAATATATAACCTTTTTTTTTCTTTTTTTAACGCAGTGTAGTTCACAATAATTTAAAATACTCTATAGACATTTAAACGATATACAATAATATAACTTAATTGGATTCCTCAGTTGTACTTAACAAATACTATTCTAATATATTTACAGTATCTAGTACCATAAGACTGTGCATTACTGTGTTTGGGAGCTTTATTTGCTTCCTGTCAAGAATGTAGTGAAATTACAGCATATCACTATTATTCAACAGCAATACCCATTAATCAAAGGGACTTTAAATTATATGGAGTGACTCTAGCATTTTTGGGGGGCCCTGTTGACTTCTGTGGAGTTGCACTCGTTCATGACAAGGCTGGTATTTAGAAACCAACAGCAACAATGAAAAATGAGCGCTTCAATTTTGGATTGCTCCGCGAGAGACTCATCAAAGGGATTTGATTTTCAGAGGGTAAGTGCTTGGGGTCAGAAAGGCAGGTCCTCATGAGTGTTCAAACGAAAGTCCCCATGTGATTATTTACTTTTGATAATACAGGCCCACAAATTACAGAGGTAATCCTGGCTCATTCACATATCCATCATGGGAGCTGGTGGAGTGGTAGCTCCACCAGCCCCTTGCTCCAGGAGCACCGTGTGGGATGGCGAGTGCTCCCATGTCAGGTGGGGAGTGCTCATGGCTGTGCAGTCCCTCAACAAAAGTAGTAAGATGGAACAAAAGCTAGAAATACAGATATGCAGACATTAGGAGATTTTTAATCCAAGTTTTCAGCAAATCAGGTAGGGACCCTTGCTACAAGCAAACATTTATATGATTAAGTCTGCTGTGTTATAAGTGGGCATATCTGGCTCTTGGGGTTAAAAACACCAGATTTTACAGTAGTAAGATATCTGAGGATTTTTTTTAAATCTCTCAAAGGGAAAAGGTGTATTAATTAGAATAGAGCACTGGTGTAAAGAGTCAGCTACTTTCTTAACATTCATGGATTTACCAGGGGGTACGTTATTGCCAACCTTAGAATAAAGACGACACAGACTAACCCAAATTTTAGCTTGCTTATGCTCATGAAGCCACCAAAGCTCACAGGTTGCAGCAACCTAGAACTCAGCTACCATATTTTTATTACCTTCTCAGTTCATACTAGGCATAAGTTATTTAAAACTATTGGTAATATTAACTTCCAGCGGTTAAAGGCAAAATGCAATGCTTGAAAGATCCTGCCAGTGCATTTGACGGCAAAGCAAAACCTCTGATATTTGTCGAAGCATGTCTTTGTATCCTAAAACTCCCTACAAGGAGCTGAGAGCAGGTGCTCCACGCCTCAAGCCTGAGTCTAAAAAGAGTCATTCTTATTTAGGAGGCAAGCGGGAGAAGTCTTTATCAAGCATTTGTAACCACAGTTTCACGTGAACTTTTTGCTCAGTTCTGGTAATTGCTTAAGGCCTACAGTAATTGAACTCTCTAATAGTGGAGTGACAACAGATCAGTAGCATTGAAGAACTTAGGGAGAACCAAATACAAAAGTCATAAAGTCAGAGTTCCAGTAAGTTTACATTTAGTACAGAATTAAGACATAGCTACCCGTTAGTGCTTAGAATTTTTTGATACTATTAAAAACATAAATAATTATTTTTAATGTTCATTCAAAGAGTTCCAGTGTCACTGGCAGCTGATGTAATTTTGTGAACGTTATTTTTTTCAGACCTGATAGTGGAGTATTTCCGCCATAGATTTTGTCTCCCTACCAGTTGTTTTCTCTCTACCTGTTTTCTTAGAATTTTAGGTTTTTGCAGCAAGTCTGCTGTGTTCTAGTCAGTGAAGGTTTCATTTCCTTAAAAAAAAAAAAGTCTTTATTTGCACAGGACTCGGTGGTTTTGTTGTTGTAAAATAGGAGAAAGTGTCTTTTAAATTTCATGGGAGCTGCAATGCAATCAGCTTCTCTGATATGTATAACTTAAAACACATATTAGGAGAACTCTACAACACCCAGGTTGTAGTTAAAAAAAAAAAGAAAAAAAGAGAGAGAAAGTTTCATGTGGTTGTCAACATCACCTTAATCCTGTTGCCCTTGTTTCCAAAGCAGTTACAACAGCCAGCCAGCCAAAATGCACAATCCTTAGAAGTGTAAGTAGTGGAAAGGGAGTGGTTGTTGTGGTGTTGGTTGGGATTTTTTTCCCAAAGATTAGATGTGCAAAATGATGCTGTCGTCGTTTGTTGTACTCCACTTTCTTCACTCGTGGTGATTTGTTCTGTTCGTTTGCACATGATGCCATTATTTGCAGGTGAACACCTCTGTCCGCTCACTACACGTGTTGCACTTCACAAAGCAGCACCAGTGGAATTTGCAATTACATTGCCACACCTTGGTGTACTGGTGTGTGTTGTACCCTCTTCCACAGCACATCATGTCACACCCATCCGCATTGGGAGAGGTACGGTTGCAGAGTCGTCCCTGGGTACCGACGCTCCCTGTGGAAGCATCTTCCTCACAGTAGTTGGGTGACTTTTCAATATACACTAAATCCGTTTCCATGGGTTTCTGGTAGCTCTTAATCTGCTTGATCTTCAGGAAAGTTGGCTGTCTTAATCTACTGGCTCGTACCACCTCCACTTGCACTGCAGCATTATATTTCTCTTTCAAAATATATCCAATCTCTCTGAATTTAGGAAGCGTGGTCCAGCAGGTCTTAGTTGTACAGGAACCTGAAACTCCATGACACTTGCACTCCAATTTCATTCTCTCTTCAAGAACCTATGTGTACAGATATTTGCATATTGTTACTGCAGGAAAATGGTATTGCAAGCTGGCCTAAATGTCAATCTCTTTAGTTCGCATAAATAGTCATTACTGCCGTTGAAATTTTTCAAATGCACACTTACAAATCTTCTCACCTCCCAGCAGAATGCTCGTAACATATTTTATCTTACCTGGTCAGAAATGCAGTGTTTTGACATTTCATTAGAAAACATTTGCCTTCTGTTTCCAAATATTGGAGAATATTTACTTAAATTTCAGAAGACATGTCTTTAGAGCCAAAGTAATTCATGGGAGTTCAGTGACTTAAAAAATGTTTTCAAACCATTTTCGTTTTGCAATTAGAAAAAAATGGGTTTTTAAAGCGCTGCAAGATTCAGAGTATTTAATCTTAATTGCTTGAAGAATGTTTAAAAAATTTTTGACCAGCTTTAATATCACAAAACATATGCTGTGTGGCTGAATAGGCAATCATGTTCACTGCATAATTAAAAATTTTGCCTATACCAGAAGTGGTAATACTTGCATACCTGTTAACTATTCAACCTACAGAGCATACCATCCCCTTTAAAAACAGAACTCCTTGCGGTATCTAGCCCAAATATCAAGCAAATGGTCAGTCATAAACACGTTTTTTGCACCAGGGCAACAATTGCACAACAGCAGAGGAAATGAACTCCACTGAAGGGTCCTACTCATCTGTGAGCCAAAGAGAAATGGGAACATTTATTATGGCTATTGCTAGAGGAGGTTAACCTAGAGGAGATTAATCCTGTGTCAGTTGGTCCCTAGAAGAGAACCAAACTGGTGTGTGCTCCGGCTCACGCTCCACTCCCGATCTCCCGCCTCCACTGCGGCTGAGCCGCGACACGGCTGGCACGTCCCTCTGTCCCCCGGCACGGGTGTACGCCCTGGGGTGGGGGGGGGGAAGGCAAGCAGATGCCCTCCCACTCCGTGTGCACGGCAGAGGGGAAACCGGCCTCGCCGAAGCGCCTCTCTGTTTTTCTGCCCTCGCGCTACCACTTAAACCTGACCACAATTACACCCACAGTCATCATTAGCTTATGAAAATCAGGGCCTAAGAACAAAGCGAACTGATCTTCCCCCTTCGCAATGGGATCCTAACAAAGAAATATGAGCTACCGAGCTTGTCTTAAAGCATTACTGATGCTGCAGACCATCTCCTGTAGTGGTTTCATTGCAGATCCCAGAACATGACTGAAATGGGCAAAGGATAAAAGGGCCGAAATCTGAGTACAATGGCTTAATGAAGTAGAAGGGAAGTAAAAAATGCTTACTGCTTAAGAAAGTGGCCTTAAAATAAAAGCTGTACAGATTTGGTTATCCCTGCAAATAGAGGGCACCCTCCTGAGTTGTTCGAGTTTCACTTAAATTGTATGTTTTGTTTTTTCCTGAATTTCTGGGGTTTCAGTATTAAAGAGGATATTTGGTTTTGATTCTCCCTTGCCAACATACAGTAGCAAGTACAAGATAGCTGAGCATCCTATCCAAAAATACCTTAGACCTTCTGGAATCACACGCTTTTCCCAGGTCAAGGTCAAGTTAGCCTATCAGAGGCAAAGAAGGTGATTTACAGGAAGGTTTATACTGGGTTAGAGAATAATTTCCTATAGCTTCAACTACTGTAAAAAACAAAATCAGCAAGGCTGTGATGAGCTGCTTTTTGTGGACACTGGAAAGGCCACTGACAAACTGTATCACCTTCCTGGCTTCCTTATGAAAAAAAGAGAAAACTTGCCACCTTCTGCTGAAGTGGCAGTATTTTAGTGGCAGCGAGTAGAGAAATGCTTTATGAAATACTCCAGGATCTTTCAGGGGTCTTCAGGGTCTCCTCTGTCTCTACTTCATGCCTGTGCAGCAGGATGTGATTTTTTCAAAGACCCCTGAACAACATTCCAATCCCATTCCACAAACCTGGGTTAAAATAATCTATTGGCATTTAGATGTGCATGCAGATATGTGTAAAAGTGCTTATAAGTTTTGCTTGATATTGCTGATATACATTTTTTTTGAAACTAGCCTGTTTGTACAGCTTTCTCACCCCACTGGTCAACATGCAGTTGCAGCCACAAGAACTGCAGCAAAATTCATGACAAAAGGTGGGTGGAGGGAACCTCCTCTACACCTTCACCAAAGAGCACTAAGATCTGAGGACTTCCCAGAAAGCATTACCAATGGGATGGATCTGCCACACCTGATTCATGCTCCTCTTCTCCCCAGGCAGTAAATCTTGGTGAAGAGTACATGTTTTGTCATGTTCTGTGTATGTTTCAGATGTCTGTTTTTTGGTTAAAAAGGCCAAGTCAGTAACTTGCTCAGAGATTGGGAGGACATGAAGCTTGTGAGGCTCCTTATTCCTGTGTGGCCTCAGCACTCTGGACACTGTTCCAATGAGCCTCTGTCTCTGTTATTGATGTGCTTCCCTGATACAACAGAAAGTGCCATTATTCCTGAAAGGCAGATATCACCCATTCTGGTGTCCTAGGTGATACCTTTGTATATGTATATTTATATATGGATGTGTGTGTGCATATATATGTTTGCCTGTGTCTGTGTGTTTGGCTGAGATGCTGCCATTTATATGCAGCACTGCCTGGCACCCTCTGTAGTACAATCTCCAGGAAACTTTATCCTAAGACTTGATTTCTTATTTTGTTGTTGTCTTTCTGAAGGTCCAGTTTTGTGAGTCATTTTGCCATACAGAAATCTGATTTCACTGCTGTATTTTTTCAGAAGTTCCCACTGTTTATGGTGGTGGAAGAACTTGCAAATGCAAGCCAGGCAGGCCCAAAAAAAGCAGAAGTTTCAAAAAGTATTAATTCATGATCCTGAAGCCAATCTCACAGGTTTTTTTATTTTTTTGGAGGCTTCTCTCATGAATGTGGAATGCTTGGGGTTACAACACTGAGCGCAGGCCCAATCATCAGGTAGTTAAATTCCTGAATGCTATAATTTGCGTGCCCACAGTCAGCTGTGGGTATAAAATTGTGCCCAAAAACTTGGAGGTCAGGGAATACAAGGCTCAAACTAAGCAGATTCTAAGCAACATTTTTTTTCCCTCTTTCCACCCAGATGCTGCAGAGCGTTCCTCTTTGCTGACAAGCCAGCATGCTCCAGCTTTCCCAGAGGTATGTCTGTCTGCGTGGTATCTCGAGCAGCTTACCACTTGCCAGCAAGGTGTCACTGGACCTGGCAAAGGTGGCAGGATTTGACCCTGTTCACTCAATGGTGTGAATGGAGAGCGACTAATGTTTTTCTTCCTAAATGTCCCACCAGCTCGGTTCTCATCAGCAAAATTCCCATCAAAACTTTGACCCTGAGCCTTAAAGGTACTTATTTACTCAAATCTAATGCACTATGCCAAGCTAGGTGCCTGATTAAAGATTGAAAATCATTAGCCTGTACGACTCACTCTCTCAGCAGTTTCATTTGTCATATGTCAGTGCCTCATATCTAATCTTAAACGGTTTACAGCAAGATCTACCTCCCAGAGTAAATTCCCATCGTTGGACTGTGCTGCCTCAGACTAATCGTAGGAACATTCCTTAGGTCCCTTTTCCACATACAGGCCCACTCCCACCCCAGTATGATCTTGCCAAGTAAAATTTTCTAACTACTGCTACTTTGTTAAATGAATTGTGAAATATAATGTTAAAGCTTTCTTATCCCACATATTTTTATACCTATATAAATCATACACTGAAAATGCAATTTGAGGGTTGTCCACTGCCAGTTAAGTAGAAAAAGACTTGCAAATACTGGAATAAAACAAAATGATATGCATGAAAAGAAATTTGTTTTTTCAAGTTCCATATCTAGACCTAACTGCTTAACATCAGATACAGTTTCTGTGCATATTAAAAATCCTATCTGGATAGAATATGTAAAAACAATAGTAACATTTTGTGTGTGTTTGTTTTGGCTTGCCTTTTCTGGTTTGTGTTTTCCTTAGTGGAAATGCACATTTTTGGACCAGATGTTGAATGTAACAAAATCCATATTACTTTTTGACTGCAGTATCAAAAAGAAATAGAAGACTTTAGGAGTTTTTCCCCATCAAATATGCAAGTGGTCAACTTTTGTTTTGGGTAATAACAGTACCAAAAGAGATGGATCCTGGTCACAACATGTCACCACCCCTTTGACACATGAGGATGCAGCCACGAGAGCCGATGGCTCGCAGATGATGTGTGGGCACTGGCTAACCTTCTTCTCCGTACAGCCTGGGGTCCACCGCTGCTGGCAAAACACTGATCTCATGGACCCATCTGGGAAACAAAGTTGGGTTTGTCTGGGTTTGGGTTTTTAACTCAGATAGCCAGGCGTGTAACTAACATTAATAGGGTGTAATGCTGCTCCCCTAATACAAATGTCCTGAAAATATTCTTCATTAATAGCAGATCACAGAGCCCGAAATTGAGCAGCTCATGCTATGTCTCCTTGGGCTGTGTCCAGCCCTGTGAAGGGAAGACACAGAGCCTGCAGGAGAGGACTACGGGTGCTTCAGCTGCATGTGTTTCTTTCTACTCCTCTGTGAGGCTGTTCCATCAAGCATCGAAACAGTATTTATACTCCATGGGATGGGAGATGAGGAATTGAATTCCAGCACTTACTCCTTCTCTTCTCACATCCTTATTTTTCTTATTGTTTAGTTTAATGGGAGGAGGGAGCCTCTGCTTTGCAGTGGGTCAGTATCCAGCCACAGCATGAAATGTTTTTTCCCTGGCACTGGCCAGATCTCCGAGGTGCCAAGAGGCATCAACTCACCTCCTCCTGCTCTTCACCTGCCTCCCTAGATAAGTCACCTTCCACCATAGTATCCCCACTGAATGCATTAAAAAAACCGAGGAAGACCCAGTGCTCTTTACCCAAGTTCTCCTCTTGGCTAGCAGGAAAATAAGCCTGGGATTTTGGGACTTGCTGCACATCAGATGGAAGTCCATACTATTATGAGGACAGGCTATAGAGCCTAACCC